CTCAAAGTAACATCTTGCTTTTCAACACGGTAAAGAGGTCTTTCTAAGTTTACCTAATGCAATGTCATTTGAACTCTTGACTGCTGCTTCCATGAGTATTGATTATGGATCCAACATAGACGAAATCCTTAACAACTTCAATCTTTTTCCCCGTTTAGCATACTGTTACCTATGGGTCCAGTTGTGAGGAATTTTTTGTTTCTTTACATTGAGTTGTAACCCATGCTGAAAATTGCAGTGTTTGATCTTCATCAGCAAGTGCTTCGAGTCCTCCTTACTTTCAGCAAACGAGATTGTGGTATCTGCATATCGACGGTAGTTAATAAGCCTTCCTCCAATCCTGACACCACATTCTTCTTCATATAGTCCATCTTCTCTGATGGCTTGCTTAGCACACAGACTGAATAAGTATGGTGAGAAGCTCCAGACCTGACGCACCCCTTTCCTGGTTTTAAACCACGCAGTATTCCATTGTTTTGTTTAAACAGCTGCCTTTTGATACACGTACAGATTCCACATGAACACAATCAAGTGATCTAGAATGCCCATTATTCTCATAGTTTGGTCTGATCACAAGGTGCCAGGAAATGATGGAATGCCAATTGAAATGTTGCAATCAGCCGATGAAGCACATGAAACACCACTCATTTATGCCAAGAAAGTTGAAAATCAGCTACATGGTCAAAAGACTGGACGAGACCCATACTGGTACCCATTCCAAAGAAAGAAGACCCAACAGAATGTGGAAATTATCAAACAATTTCATTGCCACCACATGGGGGTAAAATTTTGTTAAAATAATTTAAAAATGGTTCCAGGGGTACATCAACAAGGAGCTGTCAGAAATTTAAGGTGGATTTAGAAGAGTATTTGGTGCTTGGGATGCCAACTTCTGACATCGGCGGGATTGTGGCTGAAAGCAGAGAATACCAGAAAGATGTTTATTTGTGTCTTACTGACTATGCAAAAGCATTATACATTATTCTGTGAAGATCATAAGAAACCTTTAGGAACAATGGGAATTTCTGAACACTCCATTGTGTTCAGGTGGAAACTGTACGTAAACTAAGAGGCATGCTTTAGACCAGAACAAGGAAATACTCAATACTGACACACAGCCACCGTATAAGACAGGGTAGAACTGTCCTTGTGTTTTTAGAGACTGTAACTGTTTACAGCAACAGGGAACCTCATCTTTCTTATGAGGAGCGGCTGGTGGATCCCAACTGCTGACCTTGCAGTTAGCAGTCCAGTGTGTAATCCACTATGCCACCAGACTCCAAGAGAATACTACATGATTTAAAGTCAGGAAAGCTGTCCACCAGGGTTTTAGTCTTTCACCATATTTATTCAGTCTGTAATCGGATAAGCTAGACTATTTGAAGAATAACTTGGCATCGAGGCTGGAGGAAGGCGTGGCACAGTCTTGCTTGCTGAAAGTCAAGAGAACTTGAAGCACCTGCTGATGAAGATCAAGGTCTGCAGTTTCAATATGGATTATGACTCAATGAAAGAAAACAAAATCCTCACAATTGAACCAATAGACAACATCATGATGAATAAAAGGAGATTTAAGTTGTCAAGGATTTAATTTTGCTGAGATTTACAATCAATGCTCATGGAAGCAGTAGTCATGAAAGCAAATGATGTATTGCATTGGGCAAATCTCTGCACAAGCCCTATTTAAAGTGTTGCCAAGTAAGGGTGTCACTTTGAGGACTAGGGTGTACCTGATCCAAACCATGGCAGTTTTTAATGGCCTTCTATACATGTGAAAGTTGAATAATGATTAAGGAAGCCTGAAGAATAATTGATGCATTTAGTTATGGTGTGGTGAAGACTGTGGAATATATTGTGAGCGGTCAGAAGAAGAAACACACTGTCTTGGTAGAAGTTCAGCCAGAATGCTCTCTAGAAGAAAGGATGGGGAGGGTTTGACTTATGCTATCAGTGGAGACCAGTCCCCAGAAAGGAACATCATGCTGGTAAATTGGAAGGTCATTGAAAAAGAGGAAGACCGTTCACAAGATGGATTGACACACGGTTTCGACAATGGGCTCAAACATAACAATTGTGAGGATGGTCCAGGACTGGGCAGTATTTCCTTCTATTGTACATAGGGTTGCTATGAGTAGAAACTGACTCGCTGTTTCTACAAACAACAACAACAACAAAGTTAAAGAAGGTGATTACAAAAGACCACATATTGTATGGTTTCCTTTATAGGCAATGATCAGAATAGGCAAATCTATAAAAACTGAAATTATTCATTGCCTAGGAGTGGGAGGATAAAAAGGTTGGGAGAAAAAAAGACTGCTAATGGTTAAGGGACTTGTTTCTGGGGTGTTGAAAATTGGCTCGGAGGTTGATGGTGATAGACGCGGCATAATTCTGTGGTTACAACAAAATGCACCGAATTGCACACGTAACTGGGTAAACTGCATGGAATGGAAATTCTATTACCATAAAACTATTATGGAAGGAGAAGAAGATCACACCTGGAGAAGCCAGAAGAACAATGAGGCTAAGAGAGTAAAGCCGAGACGATGGGATAGAAAGCAAAGGCAGGAAGGAGGTGGGGGTGAGACACTAAGGCTCGGGAATCAAGAGCTCTGGAGCAGCAGGAAGCGAAGGTGTGCTTATATGGGGGTGTGGTAGTTTGGCGTGTGGGCATTTCCAATGACGCCAACAGATACAGAATTTCTCCATGGAGAGGGGCTCGTGGTTCCTTTCTTTCTAATGAACAGTCCTTATTTTGGATTCTCCATTGATTTCCAAAAGGCAAGGGAGGCCCACTAGGTCCACAGTCCACTGACTCACATGGTCCCATGTGTGTTAGAGCAGAACTTTGATCCATATGGTTCTCTGAGGCTGTTTTTTGTTTTAAACAGACGACAGTCCACTTCGGGGTGGACTGGAACCTGCAACCTTTTGGTGAGCAGCCAAGTGTGCGACCTGTGACACCTGCCCTGGACTCCTGTCGATGCTGCCTACCACCCAGTTGATTCCGCCGCACGGCGAGCACATGTCAGAGAATACAACTTCTCTGGGCATTTTCTTGCCTGCACGGTTTATATTTTGTTGGAACAATATCCTGTTAAACCCTCCGATTTTTCCTTCCCCCTCCCATTCCATCCATCTCCCTGTTCCCACCCCTGTCCCTGGCCCCCTCGTAGTCATCAAAGTCTTATCGATTGGTGTGTAAACCACATCTGGTCTTCTTTGTTTTTCCTCACAAGAACGGTGATATTAAATATTTATCTTTGTAAGACTGAGTTTGTTGCTAAGTAGAATGTCCTCTGGTTTTGTCCCTGCCTTTCAGTGCTTAAGAGCATTATCACTGTTTTTTATGGATGCATAAAATTCCATAATATGAAGGTACGAGAGCTTGTTTATCCATTCCTCTAGCTATAGTTGGGGTTCTTGGTCGTTTCTGTTTTCAGTGTTGTGGAAATTGCTGCAGTAGACATAGGTGTATATATGTCTGTTCTTTTTAAAAAAATCATTTTACTAGGGGCTCATACGACCTATCACAATCCATACATACATCAATTGTGTCAAGCACATTTGTACATTCATTGCCCTCATCAGTCTCAAAACATTTGCTCTCCACTTAAGCCCCCGGCATCAGGTTCTCATTTTTCCCCTCCTTCCCTACTCCCCCTCCCTCATGAGTCCTTGATAATTTATAAATTATACTTTGTCACGTCCTGCCCTGTCCGACGTCTCCCCTCACCCTTGTCTGTTCTTGTTGAGCTCTTCATCCCTATAGGTACACTCAGCAGAGATACGGCTGAGCATCAGGTACTTAGATTTGCATTTGTCTAAGGAAGTGCCATCCCGGTTTCCATAGCGTGTGTGCAGTGCTACAGTCCCACCAGCACTGTCAAAACACCCCTCTCTCTCTACATCCTCTCCAGCATTTGTTATTTTCTGCTCTATTACAGTTTGCCAAAAGTGTCCGTGTGAAGTGATATCTCGTGGTAGGTTTAATTTGCATTTCTCTTCTCGCTAACGATCTTGAACATGCCTCACAGAGTCGGTGGCTGCCTGCATGTTGTCTATTCATGTCTTGTGCCCATTGTGTGGCTTGGATTATTTGTGTTTTCCTTGTTACAAGGTTGTAGTTTCCTGGAGGTTTTGGAGGCTAGCCCTTATCTGATGTATTATTATGAATATTCCCCCAGCCTGTGGGTTCTCTGGTGACTCCTTCAGTGAGGTCTTCTGAGGTGCATAAGTGCCATCCTTTTAGTGGATTCTTGCCTGCACTCCTCATGCAAGCAGGTCCCCAGGCTTGTCTTCTGTGGGTCCCAATGACAGGGAGCTTGTTACTGTTGGTTCTGGTGCATCGTTAAAAAAGGCGTTTTACATTACTAGCCCATAGCCTCCTCACCATCATCCCAGGACATACGTACTGGGATTGCTCTTAGTTTACCGACGAGAAAACGGAGGCACCGGGCGATGAAGACAGGTGTCTCATGAGTGGAGAACACTGCTTTTGATCTTCGTCGGGCTAACTTGGTGACCAAAGTCCCCTTTGCAAAGGCAGTCCACAGGGATGGAGGAACCCGGGTCTGCGAGTTGCATGTCTGTGCTCCAGCAGGGAAGGCTGGTGTGTGAGCCCACGCGTCCCTGAGGCTGCACCCCTCTCTCCTGGGTGTCAGCAGGCCATTCCCAGGGAATTTCCAGGTTAGGAAAATGGACACCATGAATTAAAAGCGGCCGCTGTGGCCAAGTCACAGCACCAGACCTAAGAACAGGTCACTCATTGCTTCTTCATGTACTTCACAAGGGACCTGGCACTTGATGGGGTGGGGCTAATCTAAGAACTGGCATATTAAGAGGGGGACAAGCAAGGGCTCCAAGGGCAAAACTCCCAGGTCTAGTAAAAGCACAACCCAGAGCAATTACCTTCACAGAGCGGAGGGGGGCCTTCAAACTGCAGGTACGTTCCAAGTTTGCAAGTCAGGATTTCATTGCCGACCAAGGTGAACCCCGGGAGGCATCGGTAGCGCACGATGTCACCTGTCAAGAGGAGAGCAGCTCTAGTGCTGGAGGGCCCGCCCAGCCAGGTAAGCATAGGCTTTATCACACCTAAACCCCACGTGAAAAGGTTCACTACAGATCATGCAAGTACAAGTAAGCAGGTGTTTGCCCTGTTTACTGGGTAACCTGCTTCTAGCTTGGGGATTCTCTGAAGAAGACAGAAGGGACTGATGGGACACAAGCACACTCCCTGGCAAGATTATGAGTGGCAGGTGGTATTCTCCGGAGAAGTGAAATAAGTAGCTCAACTCCAATCAAATGCCTGAGACAATTCCTGTTCCCCTTCCACGGCTAGCCTGGGTCTGCGCCCAGGTATGGTTTCCACACTGTTTGCATAGACTTACTTCTCAGAACATATTGACTTGGATCACACAGGAAAACCACTTTCCTAGATAATGCCTCAAAGGAAGAGTATATTTTGGGTGCGAACTTAGTTGACATTCTATCAACTGTCTTGCATTGGGCTAGTTACTTCTCTCTGCAGCTGGGAGAGAGCGGTGAGCCCACTGGTTCATCTCCACCATTGCCCATCCCTCCCCGTGAGCCCTGAGTTTCCAGGGCTGGCTAGTCTGGGGTGGTCCCTATGTTGAGGCGCTTGGATTGCCGTGAGTTGGAATCTACTTGATGGCAAGTGTCTCTCCATTTCCCCGCACCCCCATACCTATGTTGAATTCTTCATTCTCTGTGACCACTTCAGCGTTGGGCAGGATGGTTGGAGGAGGGCATTTGGTGAGTGGATACGCTGAAAGAATCAAGAGGCAAATGAGTGTAAGGGCATCATTTGTATAACAAGGGCACTTAGCCTTTGATGTCTTCACGTAATTGTCCCTCATTTACTCACACGACAATATCAGTGGGGGCGAAGTGTACTGACTTTATTATTCATGACTGCACGTTGCATTCAGTCTGTGTGCGGGGTGCATGAAGCCAAGGGTTGTTCTACTGCTGTGCAGTCACCTGTCTGTTGTCCTCGAGGCGACATCCGGGAAGCCCAGGTTGAAACCAACAATGAAGGAAGGAGAGCCTCCGAAGCAGACAGTGATGGTCACTCGCATGCCAGGGAGGGAAAGGAGCATTTGCCGTGCTCCCTCTGGGAGCCAGGCATTTCCACACCTGTCACCTACCTTCCAGTCTCACCAGCTCAGCCTTCACCAGGAAGTGAGTGGTGCAGCCAGGATCTGAATACAGGTCTGGCTGCTCCCAAACCACACATTCCCTCCACTCCACAGACACTAACTGATGTGTGTGCTTCATGTGATAGCCCCCACCGGGCAGCTCGTTTGCCTTCGGACCTGGGCCAACCACATCCAGCTTCAGTGGTTTTCGGACCTGGAATCCATTCCTCTGGGCAGAGGCCGGATGGCACTTGGATGCGGGATGGTGGTACCAGGCAGAGTTCAGTGTGGGCTCAGTACTTGGCCTTCATTCATCACCTGGCACAGAGGTGAGTGCCACAGAAGTGTTCCCTGGAGCCACAGCGGCTGCTGATGTTATGATTACCATTTCCCGAAGGAGCCCAACCTCCACTGTGCGGACCTTGTCATATACGATTCTATTGTAAGGACTTTCCCACTTCATTAAATGTACATGACAGGCTTCCATTATATGGCTTGATGGAAATTCATCTTATAGGTTGTTGCTAAGCACTTGACTTTCAAAAGCTTAGCAAATTAAACCAAAACTGCGATGACTATCCTTACTTAGGTACGAGGTCTTCAAAAAGTTCATGGAAAAATTCCATTATCTTTTGATTCCATTGCTCTATGAACTTCTTGAAGCCCCCTCATATGTGTACCTTAAGGACCTTCTCTCACTATCTCCCCTTTTGGTTTGTTTTTCTTTAGACTAGAAATTACTAAAGGTCATGACCTTTTTACAGCACAGGCATCTCTTGCTGAACACCAGTAATTCATTCCCAGGAACCAGATGTTCTGTGTAAAGATGCTCACTGGAGC